AGTCAAAGGTTAAAACATAAATAAATAAATAAATAAAAATAAAAATTCAGCTCGTAACTTTCAACTAATGAATACGAAACAACCTCGAGTCCCTAATGGCCAAGCTCAAACATACATCAAACCTCAACTCAGTTCGGCTCATTAACACCTTCATTCACCTACGATTTTATTATATTTACTTTATCAAATAATAATCACTTTGTTCGACAAGAACAGCGGCAACCGTTCCTGAGGCGGCGGCTCATCAGACTGCTTCTCCGGGCAGCTCGATGCGGTCCCTAATAGTGCCGGCTCCGAACAACGTTGACCTTCTCAATTCTCCGATCTTCTTTTCCCAACAGGAACTCAAAATTTTGAACGACTTTTCTTTCTCCTCGAGCACCGGCGAAAGGGACTGAGGTGTCTCAAGGTCTTAAATGGTCCATGGTAATCACGTTTTAATGTGAGCTCGGCCGGTACTCTAATATTTTATATTATTTATATGGCCGCGGCTACAATGCTGAAATGTAACCGTGTGCTAACGGACCGCACATAGTATAACCACATACAACACACAACATACATTAATATAATACAAATATAGCACATGAACTAACATAACATAATATGTTCTCACAGAGCACATACAAATTATTGATTTTAGCACATAACATACTCTCATACAACACACGTTGTAGTTATGAACAAACAACACATGTCTTTATTACGAACAACATTTGTTATATGTAATAAAAGCATGTGTCATTTCTATATTTTACATGTGCTGCACAGTGTTGATTTTCCAAATCCAGCACGGTAACCCTTCCCTATTTATATATACATTCCTTTCCATCCTGACTCACATTACTTTGAGCAAGTCTTTAGTGCTGATTTTACTCCATTTTTATACTTTTCAGTTGAGAATAAAGAGGTGATAAAGAGGAGGTTCTACAGGTATGAACATGGTGATTATGATGCTCCCTCTGAATCTTCTTCATCTGACTCTGAAGTGGAGGTAGAGGCCACTGATGAAACAGAATATGAAGAAGAAGAGGAGGAGGAGGAGGAGGGAGATGAGGAGAATGAAAATGCTGTTGTAAGGCGAAAGGGAGAAACTTCTTCTTCTGGTTTGTGAAGCATTCTTATGATCTGTGCTATGCATACTTGATCATTGTGATCATATATCTATTTATTTGTCAATTCTTCTGGTTGAAAAACACTTTCACCAGTAATTCCATGGACGTTACTTGATGTAGGTATATTATTTGATTAGATTGTTTTCTTTGATTTTTCTTGGTATATTCTAAAAGCTTAGATTGTGATAACTAGACTGTTAATAATGTAACCTATGTTTTTGCCAAGGTTATTTTATTTGTATTCGCTTCTTCAGGTTACGAGAGCGAGGATAGTTCAGCAAATGAAGTCAATCTTGATTCATCAGGTTAAATCAGTTCTCATCTTCTTGTTTCTGTTACAGCTTTTGGGAAAGTTCATAACAAATTCCATTTTTTAATTTTTGATGTAATTCTGATTGGACCAAATAATGTATAGTTTCTATAGTTCTCCTTACAGTATGTATAAATATTTGAACTTTCACTAGAAGGAATGCGTTCTTCAGTGATCTTCTTGATAAGTAATGCTGCAGTACCATTCTCTTTGACATGAATATTGATATTGTAAATGAATTCATCCTTCTCCTAATGATATCGTTTGCAACATGGTTTCTTTGTTGATTTAACATATAATACATTGTTATCATTTTGTTTGGCATCGATAGTGACTAGGAATTTGTCTTTTATTCATGCCATTGGTTACTCATCAGCTTGACATATGTAAGGCTGGACTACCTACTACTACCTTAACTGTAATTTAGACGTGCTTTTCCCATCACTTGCTGCAGAAGATGTATACATATTAATTCATATTAAATGTACTCGACACTGCAAAAGTTTGTTTAAATTGCGAGTCGATTCAAATGTGGACACTCAATTATCAGGGGAAACATCTTTCATTTTTATTTCCATGAATGTAGAAGATTAGTGCGGGAATGGTTTTAGGATTTAATAGAACATCTGAAAACTAACAAGAGAGCGATTTTGAGGATAAGCTGATACATAATATATGGATTTTGCAAAGTTCTATTTCTTAATTTTATTTCCTTGAAACACTCTATTGGTGCATGGTATAACTATTGCCTCATATTTTGTGATGCAAATGTTTTTCACAGTTCTAAAATCTTCCTGATCCGAAAAATAGCATAATTTGGCAGGTATGGCCTCAAGTGATGATGATGTTGGAGCTCAAAATGGTGCTGGAGCTTTTGCTACTGATGAAGTCGACAATGTGTTTGGCAAAGCACCACATGGTCCCGAAAAAGATGAGAGCCCCTTCGATGTGAAAGATTGTGTCGTAAAATGCAAATCAGTTTTCAAGTGCAGGCTCTGCCCTAGGATTGTCTGCTTGTCCGAGGAGACACTAAAGGCTCATCTAAGCTCCAAGGCAAGTATATAATATCTTTTATAATCACGCTCATTGTGGCTATTGTGGGGTTGAACTTAATGCACTCTTGAGGTAGTCGATGACATTAGTTTTTTGTCCCCTTTCTAGCGACATGCCCAGTCTGAGAAATTGTATAAAGAAGGGAGGCTTAAGGTTATGCTCAACAGTGAGGGACGGATCGAGGTTGAGATTCATCATGATAATGATGATACAAATACAGTTTCTATGAAGGTATATATATAGATTATATTACGATTGAGCAGATAGGTTTACTCCCAACTCCTTTGTTCTGTTATTCACTACTTTCGAACACAATAACCTTAACAGAGTCCAACTAAATCGAAGAAAAAGGGCAAAGGGCAATGGAAACAGAGGAAGAGATCAAAATAGGTATTAAGCACCATACTATTGTCGAGATGTAACCCCGAAGGCCAACAATGCATAACACAGTTTCATAAATAACGTACAGGATACAAGGTCGGGTAAAGCGAGGCAATCAGAGAAACGAGGGAAGAGGCAGAAGAAGGAATGATGGTGATGACGACGACGGCTATTCTGCCTTCCGATTTTTGTTTAGGTAAATTTTGTGCAAGACAAAAAACTAAAATACAATCAGACAATCTTTGCTTTTCTCTGATTATGTTTTCAATTTTGCCCGAATCCTAAATGAGTTAAGCCTTATGATACACAAAATTTGAAATCATAGCATGTTCTTAGATTAAGGAGGCCTTCCGACTTGTTAGGGCTAGAGGGGGTCAGGGTGACCATCGTGATGATGCACCCGCTCATCTAGATCTAAATGATGATTCAGGTATTTAGGAAGAAGTTTAAATATGAACATTATTATTTACTTCATTAAGGTCTTAAGTGTTTTTGTTATATTGTAGGCTCCGCCACTTTTTTTTTTCCTGAAACTTATAAATGTGTGTGATATATTGTAGGCACACCATCACGAGTACATAATTCAATTCCCATAGATGCAGAAACTTCTAGTAAGTTTCAAATGTAATTTAGTAATTCATATTGATATTAATTCTTAATATGTTCATTGTAGGTTCCGCTCCACCTTAAGCTTCATCATCCACTACTAGAGCGCAGTGTTCTATCATCAATCAAAGTGACAGCAGGTTTGGAATTATTTGAATTAAATGGTTCTTTTTGTTTGATTGAAAAGTATTGTTGTAATTTTAATATAATTATCTTTGCATTAATATTTCAGCTTTTTGTGGACACCTAAGGTAACTAGTAAATTTTGTAAATTATCTTTTTCATGTATCTGTTTTTAGATTCGATTTGGTTCAAATTTTTTGTAGATACTGCAAATATGTTTGATTAAACAAAAAATTGGTTAATCAAAACTTTTGGTTTGACGAGAATCACAATTTCGAGTATTTGTTCGATTTGATTCGAATATTAAATAATTGGATATTTACAAATAATCAAACGGTGACCATCCCTTCAAAGAAATCAATAAATATTCTTGGGGCAGCGCCAAAGAGGTTTTTCCTCCTGCTCCAATACTGCATAGGAACAGCAGACAATATTTATAGGAAATAAACACATTTATCATAATGGAAAATCAATTAAATTCAATGTTATATTGTATTTTCCCGTTATTAAACTTAAAAAAGAAAAAAAAAAAAGAAATTAGAAAATTTTAAAAATCTCTAAATTATGAAAATTGAGAAATTGAAATAGTGAACCATAAAATGTTCTTAATTATGAAACTAATAATTGATGGATATTTAACAAATGAATGCTGGTAAGCCATAGCGTGCTACTAACTGCCATGTTTTTCTTCACCGTAACCATTCCGCTAAAATATGTATAGACAAGTCTAAATTACACATTAGGCTGAGGTCGAGTCATGTCACGTATGTATTTGTTTTTATTTTATTGACTTCCAAAATTGATACTTACTCGGTCTTGCAATAAAACAAAACAACAACAATAAATAAATAAAATGAATTACAAAATTTTAAATGAAAAATAAATCAAATTTTATACCTATTTTCATATGTAATATCATGTCCAGCAATTATTTCATTTAACAATAATAATAAAGCCAGTAAGAAATGGATAGTGATGTAAGGATGAACTTGTGACTGTAATGTTATAAATTTAAATTCGGATCCCTCCCGGTCTTGTCCCAAGTAAACATATTAACACAAATATCATAATATATATATATATATGCATCTATAGTTTTGAAAATGTTTTAACCAAGTCTTTACCATTCAACTCATTTGTAGATATTGTCCATTTCTCAAGTGATTCGCACCACATATATTAATTTATTTTTACGTAATTCAACATTATAATTTTGAAATAAAATTCAGCACACATAATCTATTCCATAAAACAATCAAAAATTTAATTAAAGAGCTGATAATGATAATATATATGACTTGGTCAGTTCATCAGGATTGGTTTGCTGTCCTGTCCTGTCCTGTCCTTGTTTTTCCATGGCGACCTCGGTTGCATTGAATATAGATATATATATATATATACACACACATATACATACATGTAATAATTAAAATGATCGATATTCGATTATTTATATGAAGTCTAACTAAACCCTAAACCTTAAGTAGACCATAATGTCTGTCCTCCTAATTCATGTCTTCTTCCTTGTTGTCTTGCAACTAATTTTCGTCACTTATGTCACTCCATCCCGATCCCAATTCCACCAATGCCCTCCTTCTTCCTGCGGCAACATCACGCGCATAAGCTACCCTTTTCGACTCAGCACTGATCCTTCCCATTGCAGATTCAACGGCATCAATTTCCAGCTCGATTGCCATAATAACCAGACACTTCTCAATTTCCAAGGACAAGATTTTGCAACAAGGCAATACAGATCAACGACGATTTTGGTGCTAAGTATCAATTATGAACAAGAGCGGATAAGGGTAGTCGACCCTGCTTGCATCAATATCAATACCAATACGCCGGGAGACCTCTCCTCCTGTAGTAGCCCATCATACTATTTTGGTGTTTCCTACGACGTCTACAACAATATAATAACTACCCCCTTAAACAAAGAAGCAGCATTCATTCATTGTTTGTCGTCCGCTATTGCGAACGATAATAATAATAATAATAATTATGTTAGAGCCCCTTTCTTTGGCAACACAACAAAAACCATCCATTTTGGAAAATCTTCCCGATTCTATAGTTATGTCGTGCTTGATGATCCTTATCAATTATCTTTGTCGGATTTAGAAGAGTCTTGCACGGTGGATAAGGTGCTTTTGGTGTCCGCGCGCTCGTCTATTACCAATAAGTCATCGTTCATCGATATTTACGAGGCCTTGGCTTATGGGTTTGAGCTTTCATGGAGGAGAGTCGATTCTGGAGGTTGTTGGCTGGAGGTTCCCTATTTCACCTTAGCTCCCAATCACATTGTGACGGAAAGATGTTGTTTGTATGGTATCTTACCTTGTAAGTGTCACTTAATTAATGTCTACTTCATATATATTTTACTACTCCCTCCTCCGTCTCAAATACTCTGCTAAATTTCTTTTTTTGTTTGTCTCTAACATTCTACGATATTTTTTAAATAAGAAATAATTAAATATATTTAATCTTATCCCACATTTTATTTCATCACATCAATCAAATAAAACATACGCTTTTCTCTCTCGTCATATCAATTAATTTTCAAATTATCTCATTTAATACTATTCACCTGAATTTCCGTGCCGAAAACAAATATTGCATCATGTTTGAGACGAAACCCATGAGATCACCTGTCCAAAAAACAAACAAACCCTATCTTCACAGGAGAGGGTTCTGTCCGGAACAGACGATCCCGTCTTGAGAGAGACAGAGGGAGTACTGTACAAATACACTTATTTTTAAAGAATTATAAATTGTTAAACGATATTGTTTAATTCCATTCTATACCTCAAATTTATTTGATTTTACACTTTAATTCATGATTATAACTTATTATAGACGATACTTTTCATCACTTATGGTCAATAATTTAGAAATAAGTAGCAGTTATACTTTATCATAATTATAGTTTTCTTTTCAAATTGTATGTGCTCATTATATACTAATTTGAAATTTTGCAGGTAAATATGTTCATAGACTTGAATATACTTTTCTCAGATCCAATCTACTTTGGAATCTTGTGAGCTTTTCTGTTTTTACAGGGACAATGGTTAGGGTTCTTTGGACAATTGGTAAGATTGGATTTTTTTAAAAAAATCATTTTATAACTAATGTTTAAACGATGTTTTAAGGATGAAATTGCAAAAAATATCCTACATTTATACCATATTATCACTTTTGTCTTTTGTCTTGTATTTATCTCTTTGCCAAAATATATGCCACATGTTTATAAAAATCACTATTTATGTCCTTTGCCCGCGCGTCACATTCACACCACGCGTCCTTACGCACAATCACGTGCGGCCACACGCGGCCAAATGATAGAAATAACGACTTTTGTAAACATGTGAGATATATTTTGTCAGCAAGATAAATACAAGACAAAAGTGATAATGAGGTATACATATAGGATATTTTTGCAATTTTCCCATGTTTTAAGTTATTATCTATGCATTTAAATGAATTTTCAAGTTGCTTTGGCTTTTATAATTTTGTTTTATATAAAATAATTTTTGATGTTATATGTTAATTAAATGTATACACTCAATTGATGGGAATAGAATGAGTTTAAACGGAAAAATATATTTAATTGTAAATTGTGCAATGCAAAAACATATTGAAAAGTTGAAAGATTGTCATTTTTTTCTAAACAAATTAACCATGAGATTGCAAACAATTCTTCCTATTTGATATACATATATATATATATATATTTTCACGAAATAATGTAGGTGAGATCTTATCTGTAAGATTGGCAATTGGATTTATGGTTGGATTTCCTCTTCTATTGTGGTTGGTGATCCATAAATGGAGAAGACGCCATTTATGCAATGATACAAATATTGAAAAGTTTTTACAAGATCAACATGATTTTGCACCCATAAAATACAGTTACTCGGATGTCAAGAAAATGACGAGCAATTTTAACGAAAAATTGGGTGAAGGAGGCTATGGAACTGTCTATAAAGGAAAGCTTCGAAGTGGTCTTTATGTGGCGGTAAAGATGTTAGACCAAACCATAGCCGGGGTCGAAGAATTCATCAATGAAGTTGGCACAATCGGGCGAATCCACCATGTCAATGTAGTTCATCTCGTTGGGTTTTGTATCGAACGCTCAAAGTATGCTTTGGTATATGAGTTTCTTCCTAATGGTTCCCTCGATAGATATATCTTCAACGAACAAAGTTTAGGAGTGCTCGCCTTGACGCTCGACAAAATGTTTGAAATTGCACTTGGAGTGGCGCGTGGAATTGGATATTTGCATCATGGTTGTGATATGCAAATCCTACACTTTGACATCAAACCTCACAACATACTACTCGACGAGAATTTCAATCCAAAGATATCTGATTTCGGGCTTGCAAGATTGCACCCCACCAACGAGAGCTTCATAAATTTAACGGGCGCAAGAGGAACGATGGGATACATGGCACCCGAGATTTTCTATAGAAACATGGGCGGCATATCTTACAAGGCCGATATATATAGCTTTGGAATGATGTTGATGGAAATGGCGGGAAAAAAGAAAATCATGAATGACTTGGTTGAAGAAAGGAATCGAATGTACTTCCCGATGTGGATATATGACCAACTATGTGCAGGAAAGGACATCGAGATGAAAGATGCAAGCGAAGAGGAAAAAAGAATGGTGAAAAAGATTATGATAGTCGCAATGTGGTGCATACAAATGAGACCATCCGATCGACTTCCTATCAACAAAGTAATAGAAATGCTTGAAAGTGAGTCCGAACCACGGATGCCTTCAAGACCATTTGCAGCGCCGCGTGAGATAGAAGCCGAAACGGATGATCATGGAACTCAAACTTATCTTGTAGATTGCATCAACTTAGATTTACTTCAAAGTTGAACATTTCGGCTTGTTTACAGCTTTAAGAATGATTGAAGTGCTCATTAGAGTTAATCAGTGATTGCTATGAGTTCTATTAGTATAGTAAGAGCATGCAGGTTGTTATTATGTAAAAGTGAGTTCATATAATTGTGCATGAGATTTAGAGTTTTTTAACAAGAGGAGCCGAATATAATTTTAAATATTTTTGTTCGTTATGTTTGTAAACAAAGGTTCGTGCTCGTTTGTTAAATATTCGAGTTTATTTGTATTGTTTAAGTTTGGTTCGTTAAGAAATTTTATTGTTCAAGTTTGTGTTTAGGTCGAATAAGTTCGTTTGAGCTTTGATTTGATAGATATGATATTTTATTTGATTTTATAATGTATATAGTATTTTATTTATTTTTTAATTAATAATCTTATATATTAATCTTCTAATTAAACATTTGCAAACATGACTCAGACTGCTTTGTTAACAAAATAAGTATTTAATATTTAAAATATAACACGTATACAATTATATATATATATATCTATAAAACAATATCCAATAATTATTACACTTCAAAACATATCAAAACCCAAAATATAAATGATTAAAAACACTCAACCCTTAAGGCCTACATAGCTGCAATATACTATTAGCTATTGTAAAAACTAACAAAATATATATTTATCTAATATATTCCACAAAAACTTCTGGGTCCTTTCAGATAAAAATTTTGAAAGTTTTTGAGTTTTAAAATTTTTTGAAAATAGTAAAAGATTGTATATTTAATATGATATTTTTTAAAAAGTTAATAATACCAAAAAAATCAAAAGTATATCAACACAAACAAAATTTTTATTCAAAACATCTTATTAAATTCTAAATCATAACGTTAAACTTACATCTAAGATCGAAGAAAGAGTTCTCAAATTGTATTATTATTATTAATATTATTATATTATTCAATTGACTACAAAGTCTAGGGAAGGCAATATAGGACAACAATTTTGTAAATTAATAAATATAAATTAGAGTGGACTCACAAGAGTCATGGATCAAGTCAAGAAGTGAAAAATAATTGATTAGGAATTATAAATATTTGTCCATATTTTATTATTATATTGATGTGACACTCGGGCCAGCAAGTCAAAATTGTACTCCCTCCGTTTCAAACACTTGCAATATTTCATTTTTGGTATGTCGCAAATACCTTGCAACATTTACAAAATAAGAACTAATTAATTATATTTAATTTCTACCCAACATTTTATCCCGTCACATCATCCAAATAAAAAAATAAAATATATATTTTTCTCTCATCATATCACCTAATTTCTGAATTATTCTACTTAATACTACTTACTAAAAACCGGTGCCAAAAGTAAATATTACACCTTGTTTAGAACAGAACAGAGGGAAACTAATAGATCAATAAAAATCCTTCGAGTGCGCTTTAGTAATATTAACTACTTCTATAAAGAATTATATAGGAAAAATCATAGCATTGACATATTTTAATTTTCAATTTGGTTTATGGTTGGAAATTTAGTTCGGTTAATTGGAATGACTTATTTTAGTTTACGAATGAATTACAATTAAATGCAATATATATATATATATATTTGATTGAAAATATAATTTGAAAATATTGATTGAAGTATTTTATAAATCATATCTTAATAAATACCCCTTCAATACAGGTATATATATATATATTTTTTACATAATAATATAATTATCTATAACACAATAATTTTGTTCATCCAACATTAGGGCTGAACATTCGGACTTTCGGTTTGGATTTTGCCAAATTCGAACCGATTCGAAAATTCGAAATTTTTGAAAAAATCAATCCGAATCGAACTGAAATAATCGAAATTCGAAAATTCAAAATTCGAACTAAAAAATCCGAACCAAACGAAAAATCCAAAATTTTAAATATTTTAATTATTTTTTTAATTTGTAAATTTCTTTTATATTTTATAATTATTTTATAATATTAAATATATATATAATATATAAAAGTAGATAGATTAAAATATAATTAATAATTTTGAGTTTTTTTATATTAAAATATAATATTTTCTAATAAAATATTAAATATATAATAAAAAATATTAAAATGCTATATTTCGGATTTCAGATTGGTTCGAATTTTAATTATACCGATCCGATCCGATCCGAAAATCCAAAATTTATCAAAAATTCAATCCGAACCAATCCGAAAATCCCAAAAATTCGAACCAAATTTTATATTTCGATTTGATTTGGATCGGATTTTCGGATTTCGGATATTTTGCTCACCATTACCCAACACTATTTTTTCATTATGATTCAAAAAAATAATACTACAAATACTACAAAATACTTCTTATAAAAGTAAAAAAAAAAAAAAAAAAAAAGTTCAAATACTCATTACAAAAAGTTACAAAGTCAAAATAACAAACGAGTGTACCGTATTATTTCTGTCAACACATTTTTTATATTAATATGATACAAATACAACACACACTACCAAAAAATAATATATTTGTAACGGAATTCTGTCCCTAAAGTTCACGTAGCCAACGTAATTTCATTTCTAATTCCGTCTCTAATGTCATTAGTAACACAAAAAGTAGATTTAGAGACAAAAAAATTTTGTTACAAAAATAATTTTTTCTTGTACTGACATGAATTAACAATCCATGCTATAATCATATAAAATACACGACAGTTGATTTTAGTACTCCATCCGTCCCAAACAAAGTGCAACATTTATTTTTGGCACGAGTTTTTAGGTGGGTAGTATTAAGTATAATAATTTAGAAATTGGGTGATGTGATGGAGAGTGAAATATATATTTTATTTTTTTATTTGGATGATGTGAGGGGGATAAAGTGTGGGGTAGAGATTATGTATAATTAATTATTTCCTATTTTGGAAATGTTGCAGGGTGTTTGAGACATATCAAAAAGGAAATGTTGCACGGTGTTTGGGACGGAGGGAGTATATAATATAGTTTTATACAACGTCCATATAATTCTGAACAAACATCACATGTGTTGTGTGTAATAAGAACATGTGTTGTTTCTATATATTATAAGTGCTGAAAAATCAGCACCGTGCTTAATCTTCTAAATTAGCACCGTAACTATTCCCTATATTTTGACACAATTTTCTATACCATACATAAAATTCAATTTATCTAAAAGTATATATAATTAGCATAAATTGATATCAAATAAAGATAGGTGGATTTTAAATATATATATATATATATATACATATTTATTCATTAAGAGTGATAAAAATAGAATACTCCTTTTATCCGAAATGCATGTATTCTTTTACTTTTCGTCTATAGATTAAGAGATATTAATAGTTTATGTGTGTAGGCCGGTCTTGACTTTGGAAGGGTTCGAGCCACAAAATATATAGGCCCCAATATATATATATAAAATATATTTTTATTTATAATAAAATATAAATAAAATAATTTTTTAAGATTTTTAGATGAAAAATAGTTATAAAAAATATTTTTTAATGTTTGAGACACATAGGATTTAAACTTAGACTAATATTAAAAATTAAACTTAGACTAATATTAAAATTAATCCCTGTTTACCACGCCCGGTGGAGGGTATGTGTGATATATAGTTTAAGAATGTATTATCTAAAATATTCTCGAAAGTATATAATGTGATTTTGAAATAATTTTATTTTCTAAAATAAATAAATAAGGAAGTACTTAATATCTTTTTACTTTTGATTTGAATTTAAATTATTATTTAAATATAATTTAATTTGATATTTATAAGAATAAATAATTTGTGTTTATTTGGACATTATAGCCTGAAAAATAGTAATTTTGATTTGAAAAATAAACTCTTAATATTGCATAATCACTACAAAAAAATATATATATATCAGTTTTGTAACAATATTTTTTCGTTCTTAAATCCACTTTTTCCGTTACTAATGATATTAGAGACGGAATTAGGAATGGAATTATCGTTAGCTACGTGAACTTTAGGAACATAATTCCGTTACAAGTATACTTTTTTTTTTTTTTTGTAGTGAATACATTTAATAATAACTTATACAGAATATTTAAAATAATTCTCATAACTATTTATCATTCTATAGACTAGTACAATTTCTAAAGATCAAAATATTTTTCATAACTTGCTTACTTTATTTTAAAATATTGATCATATTATTTATAATTTTTCTCTTAATTACTAAAAGCATTATATTAAATTCTTCTTTTTTATCATTCTTTTTAAAAGAAAATTATACTCTATTAGTCTGCTTCTAAAAATAACATTAAAAATATTTTTATATTTTTTATTATATAGTGTTTATTCAAAGTATTACATATACTATTTATTTATAGTACATAAAACAATCAAATTTAATTAACATATATATATATATAATTAATTAAAGAGCTCATAATGATAATATATATACATATAGGGTTTGTTGCGGGCAATAATTTTTTGGAATCACGTTTTCAAAAAATATATTTTATATTTTATATTTTTTGTGCAATTTTCTGTAACATATAAAAAATAAATTATTATTTTTAAATATTTATTAAAAAAAATAAAAAATAAAATATTTAATTAAAAATAATATATTTTATATTGTAAAATCAATTTCTCAGAGCACGTAGTAAGACTTGGTCAAGTCATGATGGATTGGCAAGTGGCTTCTGTTTTTCCATGGCCACTAGGGTGTGTTTGTTTGTGTGTATACTTCTTGAGTTTGAAAATATTTTTAGTAGTAACAAGATGAATTTAAATAATTTTTTAATGTGATATAAATAGACGTTTGACGTGATATTTTAAATATGAAATAGATTTATAGTATAATATATATGTATAAAAAATATAATAGTTTGATTTGATATTTTTTTTTTTTAAAAAAATATGAATAATAAAAATATACGTTGAAAACCCACGAAAAGAACTCAACTTTAAGGTGTTGAGATGCGTATATGTGATAATAAAAAATGACCAATGCCCAAAGTAGATTCGATCATACTCAATAATCTTATATATTGATCCAACGATTCGATTAATTGTATGAAGTCTAGCTTTATAAACCCTAAACCTTAATAAGACCATAATGTCTGTCCTCCTAATTCATGTCTTCTTCCTCGTTGTCTTGCAACTAATTTTCGTCACTTATGTCACTCCATCCCGATCCCAATTCCACCAATGCCCTCCTTCTTCCTGCGGCAACATCACGCGCATAAGCCACCCTTTTCGACTCAGCACTGATCCTTCCCATTGCGGATTCGACGACATCAATTTCCAGCTCGATTGCCGTAATAACCAGACACTTCTCAATTTCCAAGGACAAGATTTTGCAACTAGGGAATACAGATCAACGACGCTTTTGGTGCTAAGTATCAATTATGAACAAGAGCGGATAAGGGTAGTCGACCCCGCTTGCTTCAATAATAATATCAATATCAATATGCCCGGAGACCTCTCCTCCTGTAATAGCCAAGCATACTATTTTCGTGATTCCTACAGCTTCTACAGCGATGGAATAAGTACGGTCCCGTTAAACAAAGCAGCAGCATTCATTCATTGTTTGTCGTCCCCTATTGCGAACGATAATAATAATAATAATAATTATGTTAGAGCCCCTTTCTTTGGCAACACAACAAAAACCATCCATTTTGGAAATTCTTCCCAATTCCATAGTTATGTCGTGCTTGGAGATCCTTATCTATCTTTGTCGTATTTAGAGGAGTCTTGCACGGTGGATAAGGTGCTTTTGGTGTCCGCGCGCTCGTCTATTACCAATAAATCATCGTTCATCGATATTTACAAGGCCTTGGCTTATGGGTTAGAGCTTTCATGGAGGAGAGTCTATTCTGAAGGTTGTTGGCTGGAGGTTCCCTATTTCATCTTAGCTCCCAATCACATTGTGACGGAAAGATGTTGTTCATATCGTTACTCATCTTTTCGTTGTAAGTGTCACTTAATTGATGTCTACTTCATATTTTACTACTCTGTCCGTCTCAAATAAAATATACAATTTTCTCTCTTATTGTATCACTTAATTATCAAATTATCTCATTTAAAAGAATTATAAATTGTCAAACCATATTGTTTAATTCCATTCTATACCTCAAATTTATTTGATTTTACACTTTAATTCATGATTATAACTTATTATAGACTATACTTTTTATCACTTATGATCAATAATTTAGAAATAAGTAGCAGTTATACTTTATCATAATTATAGTTTTCTTTTCAAATTGTATATGCTCATTATATACTAATTTGAAATTTTGCAGGTAGATATCTTAATAGACTTCAATGTACTTTTCTCAGATCCAATCTACTTTGGAATCTTGTGAGCTTTTCTTCTAGAATTTTTATATATTTTTATACTTTAATTTTTATATATTTTTGTTTACAGGGATAATGATTACGGTTCATTGGACAATTGGTAAGATTGGATTTTTTTAAAAAAATCATTTTATAACTAATGTTTAAACGATGTTTTAAGGATAAAATTGCAAAATATATTCTACACTTATACCATATTATCACTTTTGTCCTGTATCTATCTTTCTGCCAAAATATATCTCACATGTTTATAAAAATCGCTATTTATGTCCTTTGCCCGCGCGTCACATTCACACCACGCGCCCTTACGCACAATCACGTGCGGCCACACGCGGCCAAATGATAGAAATAACGACTTTTGTAAACATGTGAGATATATTTTGTCAGCAAGATAAATACCAGACAAAAGTGATAATGAGGTATACATGTAGGATATTTTTGCAATTTTCCCATGTTTTAAGTTATTATCTATGCATCTGAATGAATTTTCAAGGTGCTTTGGCTTTTATAATTTTGTTTTATATAAAATAATTTTTGATGTTATGTGTTAAATAAATGTATACACTCAATTGGTAGGAATAGAATGAGTTTAAACGGAAAAATATATTTAATTGTAAATTGTGCAATGCAAAATCATATTGAAAAGTTGACAGACATGTCATTTTTTTCTAAACAAATTAACCATAAGATTGCAAACAATTCTTCCTATTTGATATATATATATATATATATTTTCACGAAATAATGTAGGTGAGATCTTATCTATAAGACTTGCAATTGGGTTTGTGGTTGGATTTCCTCTTCTATTGTGGTTGGTGATCCATAAATGGAGAAGACGCCATTTATGCATGGATACAAATGTTGAAAAGTTTTTACAAGATCAACATGATTTTGCACCCATAAAATACAGTTACGCGGATGTCAAGAAAATGACGAGCAATTTTAACGAAAAATTGGGTGAAGGAGGCTATGGAACTGTCTATAAAGGAAAGCTTCGAAGTGGTCTTTATGTGGCGGTAAAGATGTTAGACCAAACCATAGCCGGGGTCGAAGAATTCATCAATGAAGTTGGCACAATCGGGCGAATCCACCATGTCAATGTAGTGCATCTCGTTGGGTTTTGTATCGAACGCTCAAAGTATGCTTTGGTATATGAGTTTCTTCCTAATGGTTCCCTCGATAGATATATCTTCAACGAACAAAGTTTAGGAGTGCTCGCCTTGACGCTCGACAAAATGTTTGAAATTGCACTTGGAGTGGCGCGTGGAATTGGATATTTGCATCATGGTTGTGATATGCGAATCCTACACTTTGATATCAAACCTCACAACATACTACTCGACGAGAATTTCAATCCAAAGATATCTGATTTCGGGCTTGCAAGATTGCACCCCACCAACGAGAGCTTCATAAATTTAACGGGTGCAAGAGGAACAATGGGATACATGGCACCCGAGATGTTCTACAGAAACATGGGAGGTATATCTTACAAGGCTGATATATATAGCTTTGGAATGATGTTGATGGAAATGGCGGGGAAAAGGAAAATCACGAATCATTTGGTTGAAGAAACAACTCAAATCTACTTCCCGATGTGGATATATGACCAACTATGTGCAGGAAAGGACATCGAGATGAAAGATGCAAGCGAAGAGGAAAAAAGAATGGTGAAAAAGATTATGATAGTCGCAATGTGGTGCATACAAATGAGACCATCCGATCGACTTCCTATCAACAAAGTAATAGAAATGCTTGAAAGTGAGTCCGAACCACGGATGCCTTCAAGACCACTTGCAGCGCCGCGTGAGATAGAAGCCGAAACGGATGATCATGGAACTCAAACTTATCTTGTAGATTGCATCAACTTAGATTTACTTCAAAGTTGAGCATTGTGGTATGTAAACCCTCTCTCCCCCTCCCCTCTCTCTCAATGTGATTGAGTGTGTGTTAATTGTTTTTGGCTTGCATTCTAAGTCTACTTCGAGTTGATTGTGTTTGAATGATTTTTTTGAGTAACATGTGCTGCACCAAAACTCTTTCGAACACCTAAAATATGATTAATTCTCGAAGCATAGTTATATCACAGTTATAACACTTTACTGTCAACCGTATGCATGCAGAATACAAAGCAGTAAATGAGACAAGGGTTTGTTAATTCAGTTGGTTATAAATAAACCTACATCTGGGAAATACCAATCCAATCCAAAAGTAATTTTAACAAAGACAAACCACAACTCTTTCAACTCATACTTGTACAACTTATATACACTCTGTCGCAATTTAGTCATACATTTTGCAATGAATTGTACAACTTGTATACATTATGTCGCAATTTAGTCATACATTTTGCGATGGATTGTACAATTGATATATATTCTGACGCAATTTAGTCGACGAATAAAAAAATCCGTTGCAATTTTACAATATATTTTACAATTGATATACACTCCGTAGTAATAAAGAAAATATTTATTTTTGTATTATTATTATTATATATATTTTTACATATTTACATACAATATAACCGTACATACCATTATTATTAAAACAATTAATAATAATAATAATAATTGTATATAAAATTTATCCGCCTTCCCCTACCTAATTTCACCCTCGCCGATTCTGGGTCGATTCCACTCCCAACCGCCGTCGTTCTACTGATTCAACCACCGGCATCGCCTTCGATTCCGCTCCCAAAAGCCGCCTAAGCCGTCATTCTAGTAATTCAACCACCACCACCAGCATCGCGTTCGATTTCGCCTTCGATTCCACTCCCATCGCGCTCAACTACTTATATTTATTTGGGGAATTTGTTCTAAGTTGCTTGCTGCAAATGCATATACAGGTGATCCCTTCGTCGCGGACGCTGAGACATCGCAAGCAGCCGTTCGAATTTTCAGGTATCTTCTCTGGTTCCATACCTCTGGCATTTAATGGACACTTACTAATTCGCAGTTAGAGAGATACATATTTGGAAGCACTACTTTTCTGTTCCAGGAAATTTTGGCTTGGTTTGAATTTATTGAATGTTTATGCACTTTGCGAAAGAAATATGTCTATACAGTTTCGTTTCGATGCTCTGAGCGTTGGTGAAATTATTTCTAGCTTACAATCTAATGTTTTTATATTCCAACAATTTGTGCTTTGCGTGAATTAAATTACCTCCTGTGGAAATACGTTAAGCTACTTTGAAGACTCCAGGAAGAGATTAATTGGATTTGAGTTGCATTAATGTAGGTGATGCTTATTTGTATTAGTCCGAAGATAAAAGCTTCGAGCTTGGAAGAACTAGTCTATATTTGTAGATGGAAGTTATTTTGTAATTACTTTGAGCAAGTCTTTAGTGCTGATTTTACTCCATTTATATACTTTTCAGTTGAGAATAAAGAGGTGATAAAGAGGAGGTTCTACAGGTATGAACATGGTGATTATGATGCTCCCTCTGAATCTTCTTCATCTGACTCTGAAGTGGAGGTAGAGGCCACTGATGAAACAGAATATGAAGAAGAAGAGGAGGAGGAGGAGGAGGGAGATGAGGAGAATGAAAATGCTGTTGTAAGGCGAAAAGGAGAAACTTCTTCTTCTGGTTTGTGAAGCATTCTTATGATCTGTGCTATGCATACTTGATCATTGTGATCATATATCTATTTATTTGTCAATTCTTCTGGTTGAAAAACACTTTCACCAGTAATTCCATGGACGTTACTTGATGTAGGTATATTATTTGATTAGATTGTTTTCTTTGATTTTTCTTGGTATATTCTAAAAGCTTAGATTGTGATAACTAGACTGTTAATAATGTAACCTATGTTTTTGCCAAGGTTATTTTATTTGTATTCGCTTCTTCAGGTTACGAGAGCGAGGATAGTTCAGCAAATGAAGTCAATCTTGATTCATCAGGTTAAATCAGTTCTCATCTTCTTGTTTCTGTTACAGCTTTTGGGAAAGTTCATAACAAATTCCATTTTTTAATTTTTGATGTAATTCTGATTGGACCAAATAATGTATAGTTTCTATAGTTCTCCTTACAGTATGTATAAATATTTGAACTTTCACTAGAAGGAATGCGTTCTTCAGTGATCTTCTTGATAAGTAATGCTGCAGTACCATTCTCTTTGACATGAATATTGATATTGTAAATGAATTCATCCTTCTCCTAATGATATCGTTTGCAACATGGTTTCTTTGTTGATTTAACATATAATACATTGTTATCATTTTGTTTGGCATCGATAGTGACTAGGAATTTGTCTTTTATTCATGCCATTGGTTACTCATCAGCTTGACATATGTAAGGCTGGACTACCTACTACTACCTTAACTGTAATTTAGACGGGCTTTTCCCATCACTTGCTGCAGAAGATGTATACATATTAATTCATATTAAATGTACTCGACACTGCAAAAGTTTGTTTAAATTGCTAGTCGATTCAAATGTGGACACTCAATTATCAGGGGAAACATCTTTCATTTTTATTTCCATGAATGTAGAAGATTAGTGCGGGAATGGTTTTAGGATTTAATAGAACATCTGAAAACTAACAAGAGAGCGATTTTGAGGATAAGCTGATACATAATATATGGATTTTGCAAAGTTCTATTTCTTAATTTTATTTCCTTGAAACACTCTATTGGTGCATGGTATAACTATTGCCTCATATTTTGTGATGCAAATGTTTTTCACAGTTCTAAAATCTTCCTGATCCGAAAAATAGCATAATTTGGCAGGTATGGCCTCAAGTGATGATGATGTTGGAGCTCAAAATGGTGCTGGAGCTTTTGCTACTGATGAAGTCGACAATGTGTTTGGCAAAGCACCACATGGTCCCGAAAAAGATGAGAGCCCCTTCGATGTGAAAGATTGTGTCGTAAAATGCAAATCAGTTTTCAAGTGCAGGCTCTGCCCTAGGATTGTCTGCTTGTCCGAGGAGACACTAAAGGCTCATCTAAGCTCCAAGGCAAGTATATAATATCTTTTATAATCACGCTCATTGTGGCTATTGTGGGGTTGAACTTAATGCACTCTTGAGGTAGTCGATGACATTAGTTTTTTGTCCCCTTTCTAGCGACATGCCCAGTCTGAGAAATTGTATAAAGAAGGGAGGCTTAAGGTTATGCTCAACAGTGAGGGACGGATCGAGGTTGAGATTCATCATGATAATGATGATACAAATACAGTTTCTATGAAGGTATATATATAGATTATATTACGATTGAGCAGATAGGTTTACTCCCAACTCCTTTGTTCTGTTATTCACTACTTTCGAACACAATAACCTTAACAGAGTCCAACTAAATCGAAGAAAAAGGGCAAAGGGCAATGGAAACAGAGGAAGAGATCAAAATAGGTATTAAGCACCATACTATTGTCGAGATGTAACCCCGAAGGCCAACAATGCATAACACAGTTTCATAAATAACGTACAGGATACAAGGTCGGGTAAAGCGAGGCAATCAGAGAAACGAGCGAAGAGGCAGAAGAACGAATGATGGTGATGACGACGACGGCTCTTCTGCCTTCCGATTTTTGTTTTAGGTAAATTTTGTGCAAGACAAAAAACTAAAATACAATCAGACAATCTTTGCTTTTCTCTGATTATGTTTTCAATTTTGCCCGAATCCTAAATGAGTTAAGCCTTATGATACACAAAATTTGAAATCATAGCATGTTCTTAGATTAAGGAGGCCTTCCGACTTGTTAGGGCTAGAGGGGGTCAGGGTGACCATCGTGATGATGCACCCGCTCATCTAGATCTAAATGATGATTCAGGTATTTAGGAAGAAGTTTAAATATGAACATTATTATTTACTTCATTAAGGTCTTAAGTGTTTTTGTTATATTGTAGGCTCCGCCACTTTTTTTTTTCCTGAAACTTATAAATGTGTGTGATATATTGTAGGCACACCATCACGAGTACATAATTCAATTCCCATAGATGCAGAAACTTCTAGTAAGTTTCAAATGTATATAATGTAATTTAGTAATTCATATTGATATTAATTCTTAATATGTTCATTGTAGGTTCCGCTCCACCTTAAGCTTCATCCACCACTAGAGCGCAGTGTTCTACCATCAATCAAAGTGACAGCAGGTATGGAATTATTTGAATTAAATGGTTCTTTTTGTTTGATTGAAAAGTATTGTTGTAATTTTAATATAATTATCTTTGCATTAATATTTCAGCTTTTTGTGGACACCTAAGGTAACTAGTAAATTTTGTAAATTATTTTTTTCATGTATCTGTTTTTAGATTCGATTTGGTTCAAATTTTTTGTAGATACTGCAAATATGTTTGATTAAACAAAATATTGGTTAATCAAAACTTTTGGTTTGACGAGGATCACAATTTCGAGTATTTGTTCGATTTGATTCGAATATTAAATAATTGGATATTTACAAATAATCAAATGGTGACCTATCCCTTCAAAGAAATCAATAAATATTCTTGGGGCAGCGCCAAAGAGGTTCTTCCTCCTGCTCCAATTCTTCATAGGAACAGCAGACAATATTTATAGGAAATAAACACATTTATCATAATGGAAAATCAATTAAATTCAATGTTATATTGTATTTTCCCGTTATTAAACTTAAAAAAGAAAAAAAAAAAAAATTAGAAAATTTTAAAAATCTCTAAATTATGAAAATTGAGAAATTGAAATAGTGAACCATAAAATGTTCTTAATTATGAAACTAATATTTGATGGATATTTAACAAATGAATACTGGTAAGCCATAGCGTGCTACTAACTGCCATGTTTTTCTTCTATGTGCTAAATGAGGCTAATCAAAAATGAAATTGATTTGCTCCCGTTAGCACCGTAACCATTCCGCTAAAATATGTATAGACAAGTCTAAATTACACATTAGGCTGAGGTCGAGTCATGTCACGTATGTATTTGTTTTTATTTTATTGACTTCCAAAATTTATACTTACTCGGTCTTGCAATAAAACAAAACAACAACAACAATAAATAAATAAAACGAATTACAAAATTTTAAATGAAAAATAAATCAAATTTTATACCTATTTTCCTATGTAATATCATGTCCGACAATTATTTCATTTAACAATAATAATAAAGCCAGTAAGAAATGGATAGTGATGTAAGGATGAACTTGTGACTGTAATGTTATAGATTTAAATTCGGATCCCTCCCGGTCTTGTCCCAAGTAAACATATTAACACAAATATCATAATATATATATATATATATATGCATCTATAGTTTTGAAAATGTTTTAACCAAGTCTTTACAATTCAACTCATTTGTAGATATTGTCCATTTCTCAAGTGATTCACACCACATATATTAATTTATTTTTACGTAATTCAACATTATAATTTTGAAATAAAATTCAGCACACATATAATCTATTCCATAAAACAATCAAAAATTTAATTAAAGAGCTGATAATGATAATATATATGACTTGGTCAGTTCATGGGGATTGGTTTGCTGTCCTGTCCTGTCCTGTCCTTGTTTTTCCATGGCGACCTCGGTTGCATTGAATATAGATATATATATATATATATACACACATATACATACATGTAATAATTAAAATGATCGATATTCGATTATTTATATGAAGTCTAACTAAACCCTAAACCTTAATAAGACCATAATGTCTGTCCTCCTAATTCATGTCTTCTTCCTCGTTGTCTTGCAACTAATTTTCGTCACTTATGTCACTCCATCCCGATCCCAATTCCACCAATGCCCTCCTTCTTCCTGCGGCAACATCACGCGCATAAGCTACCCTTTTCGACTCAGCACTGATCCTTCCCATTGCGGATTGGACGACATCAATTTCCAGCTCGATTGCCATAATAACCAGACACTTCTCAATTTACAAGGACGAGATTTTGCAACGAGGCAATACATATCAACGACGCTTTTGGTGCTAAGTATCAATTATGAACAAGAGCGGATAAGGGTAGTCGACCCCGCTTGCATCAATAATATCAATATCAATACGCCCGGAGACCTCTCCTCCTGTAGTAGCCAATCATACTATTTTAGTTATTCCTACAGCTTCTACAGCGATGGAATAAGTACGGTCCCGTTAAACAAAGCAGCAGCATTCATTCATTGTTTGTCGTCCCCTATTGCGAACGATAATAATAATAATTATGTTAGAGCCCCTTTCTTTGGCAACACAACAAAAACCATCCATTTTGGAAATTCTTCCCGATTCTATAGTTATGTCGTGCTTGGATATCCTGATCGATTATCTTTGTCGGATTTACAAGAGTCTTGCACGGTGGATAAGGTGCTTTTGGTGTCCGCGCGCTCGTCTATTACCAATAAGTCATCGTTCATCGATATTTACGAGGCCTTGGCTTATGGGTTTGAGCTTTCATGGCGGGGAGTCGATTCTGAAGGTTGTTGGCTGGAGGTTCCCTATTTCACCTTAGCTCCCAATCACATTGTGACGGAAAGATGTTGTGCATATGGTTACTCATCTTTTCTTTGTAAGTGTCACTTAATTGATGTCTACTTCATATTTTAATACTCCGTCCGTCTCAAATAAAATATACAATTTTCTCTCTTATTGTATCACTTAATTATCAAATTATCTCATTTAAAAGAATTATAAATTGTCAAACCATATTGTTTAATTCCATTCTATACCTCAAATTTATTTGATTTTACACTTTAATTCATGATTATAACTTATTATAGACGATACTTTTTATCACTTATGGTCAATAATTTAGAAATAAGTAGCAGTTATACTTTATCATAATTGTAGTTTTCTTTTCAAATTGTATATACTCATTATATACTAATTTGAAATTTTGCAGGTAGATATGTTCATAGACTTCAATGTACTTTTCTCAGATCCAATCTACTTTGGAATCTTGTGAGCTTTTCTTCTAAAATTTTTATATATTTTTATACTTTAATTTTATATATTTTTGTTTACAGGGACAATGGTTACGGTTTTTTGGACAATTGGTAAGATTGGATTTTTTAAAAAAATCATTTTATAACTAATGTTTAAACGATGTTTTAAGGATAAAATTGCAAAATATATTCTACATTTATACCATATTATCACTTTTGTCCTGTATTTATCTCTCTGCCAAAATATATCTCACATGTTTATAAAAATCGCTATTTATGTCCTTTGCCCGCGCGTCACATTCACACCACGCGCCCTTACGCACAATCACGTGCGGCCACACGCGGCCAAATGATAGAAATAACGACTTTTGTAAACATGTGAGATATATTTTGTAAGCAAGATAAATACAAGACAAAAGTGATAATGAGGTATACGTGTAGTAGGATATTTTTGCAATTTTCCCATGTTTTAAGTTATTATCTATGCATTTAAATGAATTTTCAAGTTGCTTTGGCTTTTATAATTTTGTTTTATATAAAATAATTTTTGATGTTATGTGTTAAATAAATGTATACACTCAATTGATAGGAATAGAATGAGTTTAAATGCAAAAATATATTTAATTGTAAATTGTGCAATGCAAAATCATACTGAAAAGTTGACAGACATGTCATTTTTTTCTAAACAAATTAACCATGAGATTGCAAACAATTCTTCCTATTTGATATACATATATATATATATATTTTCACGAAATAATGTAGGTAAGATCTTGTCTATAAGATTGGCAATTGGATTTATGGTTGGATTTCCTCTTCTATTGTGGTTGGTGATCCATAAATGGAGAAGACGCCATTTATGCAATGATACAAATATTGAAAAGTTTTTACAAGATCAACATGATTTTGCACCCATAAAATACAGTTACTCGGATGTCAAGAAAATGACGAGCAATTTTAACGAAAAATTGGGTGAAGGAGGCTATGGAACTGTCTATAAAGGAAAGCTTCGAAGTGGTCTTTATGTGGCGGTAAAGATGTTAGACCAAACCATAGCCGGGGTCGAAGAATTCATCAATGAAGTTGGCACAATCGGGCGAATCCACCATGTCAATGTAGTGCATCTCGTTGGGTTTTGTATCGAACGCTCAAAGTATGCTTTGGTATATGAGTTTCTTCCTAATGGTTCCCTCGATAGATATATCTTCAACGAACAAAGTTTAGGAGTGCTCGCCTTGACGCTCGACAAAATGTTTGAAATTGCACTTGGAGTGGCGCGTGGAATTGGATATTTGCATCATGGTTGTGATATGCAAATCCTACACTTTGACATCAAACCTCACAACATACTACTCGACGAGAATTTCAATCCAAAGATATCTGATTTCGGGCTTGCAAGATTGCACCCCACCAACGAGAGCTTCATAAATTTAACGGGCGCAAGAGGAACGATGGGATACATGGCACCCGAGATTTTCTATAGAAACATGGGCGGCATATCTTACAAGGCCGATATATATAGCTTTGGAATGATGTTGATGGAAATGGCGGGAAAAAAGAAAATCATGAATGACTTGGTTGAAGAAAGGAATCGAATGTACTTCCCGATGTGGATATATGACCAACTATGTGCAGGAAAGGACATCGAGATGAAAGATGCAAGCGAAGAGGAAAAAAGAATGGTGAAAAAGATTATGATAGTCGCAATGTGGTGCATACAAATGAGACCATCCGATCGACTTCCTATCAACAAAGTAATAGAAATGCTTGAAAGTGAGTCCGAACCACGGATGCCTTCAAGACCATTTGCAGCGCCGCGTGAGATAGAAGCCGAAACGGATGATCATGGAACTCAAACTTATCTTGTAGATTGCATCAACTTAGATTTACTTCAAAGTTGAACATTTCGGCTTGTTTACAGCTTTAAGAATGATTGAAGTGCTCATTAGAGTTAATCAGTGATTGCTATGAGTTCTATTAGTATAGTAAGAGCATGCAGGTTGTTATTATGTAAAAGTGAGTTCATATAATTGTGCATGAGATTTAGAGTTTTTTAACAAGAGGAGCCGAATATAATTTTAAATATTTTTGTTCGTTATGTTTGTAACCAAAGGTTCGTGCTCGTTTGTTAAATATTCGAGTTTATTTGTATTGTTTAAGTTTGGTTCGTTAAGAAATTTTATTGTTCAAGTTTGTGTTTAGGTCGAATAAGTTCGTTTGAGCTTTGATTTGATAGATATGATATTTTATTTGATTTTATAATGTATATAGTATTTTATTTATTTTTTAATTAATAATCTTATATATTAATCTTCTAATTAAACATTTGCAAACATGACTCAGACTGCTTTGTTAACAAAATAAGTATTTA